GGTTGTTAAAGTCTGGGCCAGAGAGGCTTTATTTTGGAGAGATTTTAATAGTTCCCCATTCCCAGAGCATCCTCAGCCTGGAAACAGGTCCCTATCCCTAAATCCACCTACCCCATCCTTTGGCTGGCTTCTGCATTGCCCTCCTGCCCCAGTGCAACTCATGGCCTGAGCCAGGACATAAAATATTGTGGGCAGCAATGATTATTGACCAGGCATCCCAGCAGCACCCAGCAGCCTTGGGGCGGCTTTCCTGCAGAGCTGGTGAGTGGGTTGGATCTGTGGGGGCAGGTATTCCTGCGGGTACCTTCAGCATCGTCCGCTGGTGCCTTGGCTGATGGTCTCGGCAGATGACCATGGAAAATTCTTCAGTTAACTGGGAAACAGTCATTTTGCAAGCTTTGCCCTCACATAGCCCTTACAGATGTGGGGTAGGAAGGGGGTGCACTCACAGCCTCCAGTGGCAGGAACCAGATCCTTTTGGATCAGGAACCATGATGGGAAGAGTTCTGGGGCTGAATCCTTGCTCTCAGCCTGCAGCACGTGGCCCCAGTCCCGGGGATGGAGGGTTAAACCTGGGAGGGTTTGACCCTGGCACTGCAGGATGCCAAGCCCAGATTAACCAGTTGAAGACGTCACTTTCCATTATGGGAAAGGTTCCCAAATAGCCCTGAAGCTTTTGGTCCCAGGGATTAGCCACTGCTGTGCTTTCTCCCAGCAAAGGGCAGGGGTCCATCGATGCAGCAGTGTCCGGGGCGATGAGCGGGGCTGGGAGCTGCTCCGAGGGGCATCTCCTGTGTGGCTGAGGACGACCATGTGGGAACGGGTCAGGAAGGCTTTGCTGAACTCGCTGTCCACGACCCTCCTCTGCATCTGGAACTGGGTGCGGGCTTTCTGGCGAAAAAATGGCCTCCTGACCCTATCGATGCTGTCGGTTGCCACCGGGTGCCTCCTGGGGTTCCTGCTGCGGGCGCTGGAGATGACAGAGCTGGTAAGCCTGGCTGGGAGAGGGACAGGAGTGAGGGGATGGAGGGGGTCCATCGGGGCGACCAGCCCTGGTGACAGCAAGACATCACCATCAGGGGCCCCAGACAGGCACAGCCCCAAACGCAAGGGCTCCTGCCCAAGAAAACCACCTCTCAGGGGAGGTTTCTCCCTGTGGTGTTTTCTTTTTGTTTGGGCTGTTTTGTTTGGGTTTGGTTTGGGTTTTTTTGGGGTTTTTTTGGGGGGGGGTGGTGGTGGTGGTTTTTTGGGGTTTTTGTTTTGTTTTGTTTTTTGATTTTTTTGTGTTTTTGTTTTTGTTTTGTTTTGTTTTTTACCAAAAAGCTGCCAACAAGTCCCAAAGCTGCAGGACAAATCCCACCTCTCTCCACTGGCAGTGGAGGGGCTCTGGGACAGACCCCTTGGGGCTGCAGGACCCTCCAGGTGTGGAGATGGGAAAGGGGGGAATGGATGTTCAGCTGCTGGATGCTCGGTAACAGGTTCCCCCCAACACAAACAGCAGTGTTGGGGTCGCAGGAATGAGTTCCTCCTGTCCCTCTCCCCAGCTGCACACATGCTCAACCGAAACATGTTTCCCCTCTCTGGAGAAGCTCCAGCAAATAAATATGGGGCTGGTGGAGAGCCTGGGGGGCTTCCAGGGACCACCTGGAAGACAAACGCATTGGAAACACCTACGAGGTGTGTTTGCTCAGCACTTTCTGGGAGCGTTGTGCTGTTAAATGTCACTGCGCTAAAATCCACGTGGCTTCAATGACATCAGGCATCGTGGCTGGGGGTCACTATCTTTGGCCGGGCTGGCTGAGCCCAGGGGGGATGCTGCTCTGGGGAGAGCTCAGCTGGTGCTGGAATATCCCCGTGTCACCCACCAGGATTTAGCAAAGTCTTGTCACATCAATTACGCCCTTCAGCATCACTGCCCGCAGCGGGATGATCATGTTACCTAATGGGAGCTGGATGTAATCTCCTTGCGCCCTGGTGCACACACCCACGAACCCCCAGCAGCCACCTACACGGGGCTTGAGGCTGCCAGAGCCTGGGGGCTCCTGCCCCTCATCCTGCCATGCACCGAGTTCATCCATCCTCTGCCCCCGTCCTGCCCTCTTGCCACAGCCCTGCACGTGGTCCCTGGCAGCCACTTCTCCCCACTTAGAGAATTTTGTTCCAAAATCCATCCAGATGAGGAGCTGGAGAAGCAGCCAGTCCTCGCTCTCCTCCCCATGATGGGAAAGTGTCACAAAGCTGAGAAACCCACTGACAAAAGCGATGCTGTTCAAATCTGCCGTTACTCCTCGCACCCAGCTGGCCACATCCCGGCTCTGCTCTACCCGAGCTCCCTGGGGACATCAGCCCCACTGAGGCCACACGGGTGGGTCAGCACCAGGACAGCAGCATGGAGCGTTTGTTGGAATAGTTTGCCTGGGCAACCCTCAAAGCTTGGTGGTGTTGGTTCCTTTGGAGTAACCAAAAGTACCTGCTTGGCTCGGGGCCCTCGCAGGTCTGTCCCTGACACCTCTCTAGTGGCACAGTGAGAGACCGGAGGGCAGGGAGGTGGATGGATTGATGGAGTGAGGGATGGATGGGATGGTGGATGGAGAGATGGATGGAGGGATGGTGGAGGGATAGGATGGATGGTGGGTGGAGGTAGAGATGGAGGAATGGTGGATGGAGGGATACTGTCCAGGCGACTGCTGGTCTTGCAGACCCCTCAGTCTTCCCTTGGTCATGGCTGTGGGATCCAGGCTTTGAGGGTTTCTCTTCAGGCAGCCCTTCCCCATGCCCATTTGAGGAGTGCAGGGGGTGGACAGATGCCACGGGGTGGAAACCTCCCTTGGTGCACTGCGAGGCTGCACCACAGATGAGCTGGACACCTGGACACTTGGGCTTTGCCATCTACAGCCACAAGGTATTTCCACCTTCTGCTGCCAGCACCAGGCTGCACCCAACAGCCTCGGGGCACTTCTGCACATGGAGCCTCTGCTGCCTGATAACAAGTGCAACAACGTTCGGGAGGAGCCAACGGTGGGGCGGTGGGGACCATGCCCTAGTGGGCGATGGACCCAAGGGTGTTTTTGGGAGGGGACCAGCCCCACATGCCCCTCTCCAGTTCACGGCTGGGTTTCCCACGTGGCCAGTATTTCCCATCCCTGACCCAGCTCCCGGTAAGGGACAGCCAGAGGAACATCATCTCTGAGTGCCGCCAGGAACGGCTGCTGGCTCAGAACCAAGCTCGGAGCTGGGCCTGGTTGGGAAAAAGGCAAATTTATCAGGTTTGAGCCCTTAACCCGTGATCAATGTCCACTTCTCAGCTCTCACCTGACACAACGGCTCTGCTCTATGTGCAGGAGAAACAGTATTTTTCCTTTCCTGGAGAGCTTCTCATGAGGATGCTGAAGATGCTGATCCTGCCCTTGATCACCTCCAGGTAAGACATCATCTTCTGCTCCTAGAGTACCATCTCACTATCACGTTGAGGAGATTGCCCACTTTGAGGAGATCACCCCAAAACTGCCCGTGGTGAGGATAACCCTGGCCCCAAGCAGCCAGCAAGCAAGCACCATGCCCTGGCTTGGTGTCCATCAAACCCCAGCAACGGTCTGGGACAAATCCTCATCTGGATTTGCCAGACACCTGCACCCAGGTCAGACACCTGCACCGGCTGAGGTGTTTCCCACCTTTTTGGGCTCAGCCAGCTGGTGATGCCCGGACCATCTGTGGGCAGCTGACGATGGGCACCTGTTTAAACTCAAAGCAGATTTCCTTATTTAGCGGGTTTTGAGAAAGTTCAGGCAGAAATCACAGGTATCCCTTGATGCTGTGTCTGTGTTTGCACATCCCACTTTCACCAACCCGTCCAGATCTAGAAATAAGAAACAGAGCTGACAGAGTCACACTCAAGTCTAAGCAAGGTCTTGAAAAGCTTACACGGATTTACATATTTTAAACAATTGCTGGCACATGCTCATTAGAAATACCCAAACCATTAGCTCTTCGTTCCCTTCAGCATGTGTCACTTCTCTGTTGTTTTCCAGAGTGTGCTTGCTGTCCTGTTTGCCTTTGGTTTATTTTTGGGAGCAGTGTGGTCTCTGTCCTGGCCACACTTGGCCTTTTTGGTATCAGCCCTTGGAGATCTGCTTTCTTTTCCCCTCCGGTATTTCACACGCCCTTCGCTGATGCGCTGCCCGGGTTTTCCTTCTCTCCCAGGGTGCTCTCAGCCCTCCCCATGGCTCAGCAGTGCTGGGTTATCCCAGCCAACCGCTCTCATGTGTGCGGGCACAGGGGCTGCACCGGGCTCCCAGGATTTTTCTTGCACGTTGAATCGAACCAGGCTTTTTTATTATTTAGTTGTTGAATGATGGTAAAGTGGTGTCTTCCCTCTATGCACCATCCTAGAGGGGACTGGGAGTGCTCTGGGGATGGATTTGCCCAGGTTGGGGCTCGGCTCTGGAACTCCCCAAGCCGCACGCTGGAAAGCATCACCCACCCCGGCATTGCCCTTGTGGCCTCTTGAGCTTCCCAGGGTCTCTCTCCTCCTGGACACGTGGCTGCTGGAGGGGATCTGTGCACCGGCCACCACCTCAGCCACCTGAACCTTGTGTGTTCCCAAGGGTGGCATGAACCCTTGCAGCCTCTCTCTCCATCCCATCCCGCCCGGGGGTCTTCGGGCCACTGCGGAACGCTGCCAGCCGGCTTGGCCAGGCTCTGCAGGGCCCACGGCAGCGGGAGCAGTGAAAACCAGCGGCCAGGAGCTCCGGGTGGGTCTGTGTGCATACGGGGCACGCTGCAGCCCCCGAACACCCCCATATCCCCCACGCTGGCACTGCTGCCGGCCGGCTCTCCCTGCTGCTGCAGCCTGTAATACCCTCTCTATTTTTAGTCCAGTTTTGTTTAAAAGTAGCTTATGGGCTATTTCTTAGGAAAGCTTAGGTGTACGTGAAGTCTGAACCAGCAGCTCTCTCCTTGGGGGAGTGGGCTCTGTCTCCACCAGGATTTTATAAATCTTGCTAATACCTTTCTTCGCTGTTCGCAGCGACAGGCAGCAGCGCCACAGGGCACTGGAGATTTAAGAGAACGGTATCACAGAAAAAAAGAGCAGGGTTTGTTATTCGCCATCAAAATACACTAAGAATATTTACTTTTCATCCCTTGGAGAAAACAGAAAAGACGTCCAGAGCTTGAAAGGGACCCGGAGAGGTGTCTCCTGCCCTTCGCAGCTCAGCCTGGGTCGCCACAAGCCTCTCTTGGGCAAGAGATCCCGTGGGCACAGGCACACACATATGCAAGAGCTTGGTGATGCCCTTAGGCATTGGTTAAAAAAAAAATCTATGGAAACTTCTCCTACCTTGGAGATTTTGCCCATCAGGTGAATCTTGTGCAGATTCAGGAGCAGACACTGACCACAATCTTTTCTGCTGCAGCCTCATGTCCGGGCTGGCCACCATGGACTCCAGGGCCTGCGGGAAGATGGGGGTGATCACCATCACCTACTACCTTTGGACAACTTTCATGGCAGTGACTGTCGGGATCATCCTCGTGGTCAGCATCCACCCCGGCGCAGCTGCCCAGAAGGATGACTACTCTGTGGGGAAAGTGGTGCTCAGCTCCGCCGACGCGTTACTGGATTTAATCAGGTACGTCGCAGGATTTCGGGGGGAGCTGAGTTTAAGGTGGTGCTTCACAGACAAGATCTTCCCCTGAGGTGCTGAGCTCCTGGGAGATATTGAGATCTCAAGGGAAACGGGAGAACTGTTGGCTACACTGCCTGGCACCGGTACCTCCCAGCCCAGTAACGGGGGGTTTGTGTCTCCCATGCACATTCCCCTGGCCACACTGTCACCCCCGTTGCTCTCCTCACAGAGCCACCAGCAAAGAGGGGGGTGGCAGCAGAGAAGGGGCAGGTTTAAATTCCCTGCAAAGCTCAGGGGTTCTCCCTCTGCAGCCCCGCAGCTCCCTGGGCTTTGCAAGGTACAAATGAGCAGGAGTTGGCCCAGGGCTGGATTAAAGCCATGGATGAGGGTTAACTGGGGAGAGGGTGCAGCCCGGACCCAGGGGAAATTGACTGGCCAAGGCTCTGAGCATTCTGCTCCCGCTGTGCAGACGGTCCTGCTCTGAGCAGGGGACTGGAGATGGCAGAAGTCTGTCCCAGCCTCTGGCTTTCTGCGTCCAGTTTACATGTGGTTCACAGTCCTGCTCTTCGGCCACCTTCCAGCCTCTCTTCGCCCTCAGATGGCCCAGAGGACATCAGCTGGAGTTGTGCTGAAATGGCCCTTCTGGCCCTGTGCCCGCCAGAGCCGCTGCCCGGGATGTTCCCTGGGGTCTCACAACGTGCTTTAACCCCTGCGCCGTTGCTCTCTTACAGAAACATGTTTCCTTCTAACCTGATTGAAGCTTCCTTCCAGCAGGTGAGTTCACCCAGCTCCGCTGCTGCTCAGGGCTGGGACGGTGCTCGGGGCTGCTCTCCCCATCCCCGGGCTCTTCCCCACCCATAGCCTGGACACGAGCCCCTTCCCTTCCTTCTGCCCCCATCCCCACCCTGCGTGCTCCCCGATTGCTTTCTGCTCCCCCAGGGCAGGCACCCGAAGGTGGGAGGGTGCTGGTGGGGGCACAGACTCACAG